CTGTGGTGGACAGAGGGGACACTTGGGTCAGAACAGCTGGGAGACGGGCAGCCGCCCAGCAGCCCGCCCCCATGCAGCGCCCCAGCCTGGGCCCAAGGTCGAGCGGCCTCCCTTGGGAGCCTCCACAGCTACCCCCACTTCCGAGGGTTCTGGGTGGCCTTGATCCCCGCAGCGAGGGCACGGCCAGCCTGGCTCAGAACCCGGCGTCTCCCGGCCTCAGCAGCGAGTCACCTGCCAGAGCCTCCGTCCTCTAGGGCCACTGGGGTCCCTGTGCCCAGCTGTGTCCTCAGCTGGCCCACAGCGGCCACGCAGTGACGGCCATGCACCTCACCCCACATTCTGCTGGTCACCCCAGAGACGAGCGGCCTCCATGCCCGCGGAGCGGCCCTCCTGCCGTCATCACTCGGCTTCTTGGTGATGAAATCAGTGAGAATATTTATAGATATGAAAATATTTCACACACGGAAGAAGCTGAGCCTGGCTGCTTGGGTGTGTGGGCACCCCCCCCCAGATCCTGCTGGCTCTGCTGTCCCAAGAACCCCCCCGCCCCCCAGCTAGTCCAAGCCCCTGGGCCCTGCTCGCCCGCTGGAAGAACCCAAGAAGCACGCTGTGAGGTCATCTCTCTGTAAGCCGACACCGTGCGGTATGTGTAACTGCTGTAATTAAGGCTTCGAGATGGCCGGGCTGTCCTGGAGGGGACGGGCCTGTCCCTTCTCCGGAGAGAAAATGACTTGCTAGCGTACACGGCTTCTGAGGACTTTACTGTAAGATGCAAGACTCGTATTTCACTCTTGCACTTGGAGTGTTTAATCCAATGGAAAGTGCACTTTGGCCTAGAAATCTTGGCTCCAGCTGCGGAGTTGGCCCGAGTTATTGCTGAGGATTCAAGTGTGGGGTGCACGCTCACTGCCCGGGCTGCCCGGCCTGGGCGCACGGGACCCCTCAGCACCCAGCTCCTGCCTGGCCGGGGTGGGGCCGGGCTCCTCGCTGGCCTCCCCCCGGGACACCAGGCCAGACACACTGCGGGCCTCAGGGGTCTCCCCACCCACACCTGTGACGGGGCCGGGGGGGCCAGGAGGACGGACTCCGTGGTCTTGGCGGGCGGGGCAGGGTGGCCCTGACTGGGGTCGCAGCTTTGCTAAGGCTGTGCTGTCACCAACAAGGGGAGCCTCCGGGACCCACGTGATTTTTAGGGTCCTTCGTGGTTGACTGGATGGGACCAGGGAAGCCGGGGTGACTCCACGCCTCGGGGCTGGCCGGCTGCTCCTGAGACGGCCAGTGGCGAAGACTCCGTGGGAGGCCCTGTCCGACCGCTCGCAGGGAGGCTGTGCCGGCGGCGCTGTCCTGCCGTCCACTCCCCACGGCCTGCCCAGGGGTGGGTTTAGGCCGTTCTCTGCCCCAGGCACTGTGATCCAGTTAAAACACCCGTGCCCCTACCGGGCTGGTCGTGAGCCCCAGCCTGGCGGAGAGCATGCAGCTGCCTCTGCTCCAAGGCACCCCAAAGGGAAGTGGGGGAGCTGGGGAGAATCCTCACCCACACTTAGAAAACCTCAGACCAAGACCCCCAGCAGCTGTCGTCCCATAACTCTGGGTGTCGCGAGCTGGCCAGACGTGACCTGCTCCCCTTTCCAGGTTTTCCTGCTGAGCCCCCCCTTCACCGCGCCCCGTTCGAGGGGAGAAAGCAGGGTCAGCCCTGGGGTGCCAGCCCTGCGGCTGCAGCGTCTGCCCCGTGTCCCCTAGGGCCCTGGGGCGCATGGGCACGCGCACACCCTGTGGGCACCCTTCGTGGGCACAGCCACTCCCAGGGCCAGCCCGTCCCCAGGATGTGGCCCCGGGAGTGGCCCCGGGCAGGTGCGGGGGGGTGCTCTGAGGGGCGCCTCTGGGTGGCGCAGCGCAGAAGAAAGACGGGGCGTCTGTCTCGGCCCCCGGCTTCAGTGCGGCGGCATCCAGCCCCTGGCGCCAAGGGCCTAATTCAGAACACTGTTACTTCAACGCCGTTCATGTCAGAGGGACATGAAACGAAATTCACGTCATTTTTCCAGAGGTTTCCAAACAGGCATGAAAAATCAATTTTTTTCTGCCACCAATTAACGTCAGCCACTCGTGGCTTGTGGAGGACGCCCTGGCGTGGCGGCGGGTGGCCGTGGCCCTGCGTCCAGCTGCGGCCGCCGTCCAGGCTCGTGCTGCCGCTGGGCGGGGCCAGTCCAGCCGTGAGTCCAGCCGGCACTGCCCGGGGCGAGGGGATGAGGTGTGGCTTCCTGCAGCGTGCACAGGCCTGTCCTGCTCCTCCTGCTGCTCCTCCTGCTCCTCCTCCCGCTCCTCCTGCTCCTCCTGCTGCTCCTCCTGCTCCTCCTGCTCCTCCTGCTCCTCCTGCTCCTCCTGCTCCTCCTCCCGCTCCTCCTCCCGCTCCTCCTCCTGCTCCTCCTCCTGCTCCTCCTGCTCCTCCTCCTCCTGCTCCTTCTCCTGCTCCTCCTCCTGCTCCTCCTGCTCCTCCTCCTGCTCCTCCTGCTCCTCCTCCTGCTCCTCCTGCTCCTCCTCCTCCTGCTCCTCCTCCTGCTCCTCCTGCTCTTCCTCCTGCTGCTCCTCCTCCTCCTCCCGCTCCTCCTCCTGCTCCTCCTCCTGCTCCTCCTCCTCCTCCTCCTGCTGCTCCTCCTCCTCCCGCTCCTCCTGCTCCTCCTCCCGCTCCTCCCGCTCCTCCTCCCGCTCCTCCTCCCGCTCCTCCTCCTCCTCCCGCTCCTCCTCCCGCTCCTCCTGCTCCTCCTCCTGCTCCTCCTCCTGCTCCTCCCGCTCCTCCTCCTGCTCCTCCTCCTGCTCCTCCTCCCGCTCCTCCTGCTCCTCCTGCTCCTCCTCCCATAGGAGGGATCCATCATTAACGCTAATGGCGGGAGGGCAGAAAAGCCTGATAATGTTCATTTACCCCACAACTGTCCACTTGTGTTCACTGCAGAAGTCTGTGCTTCTAGTTTGAGTAAACATTTGTAAAATGTTTAGAATTGTAGAAAAGCTGCAAAAAAATGGCTCGGCATTGATTTTTGTGGGTCACTTTGCCCCCCTCTAGTTACCACCTCCTCAGCCCCGGGCTGGTACCCGCGCCCTTCCCTGCTCTTGAGCTCTGTGGCTGCCCCTGTTTATTGTCCCGTGTAGTGCTGGTCCTTCCTCTCCCGGGAGGTGCCACCCTCCCTGGGGGCGACTCCCCACCTCTTTCCCGGCTGCTGGGTGCCCCAGGGCCCACACCAGAGCCAGCCTGTTCCGTCCTCCCTGTCCTAAGCCTGGGGCTTCTCAAGGACAGACCCCAAAGCTGGCCCAGTGGAGCCTGGGACTTTGCTGCCAGGCTCTCTGCACACCCAGCCAGGAGGCCCCTGGCCCCTGCCAGGCCCTGCACCCCCCTCCTCACCTGAGTGGGCCTCTGCGTGGGCAGGGTCCTTTCTCCAGGACGTGGCTGCACACTCTCCCCGTGGGTGGGGAGAGCCTGGGGGCCCTCGGGCCCAGTGGGGGTCGTGGCACAACTGGTGACCATCCTAGGGTCTTCATCGCTGGGGCCCGGGGGTTGGGTCGCCCTCAGGAGTGTGGGGGCCTTGTTTTGGGGGCACAAGGGACCGATCTGGGGCACGGGAAAACGGCTCCACGGGCTTCTCTCGGCCACGACGGCTTCTGTCTGTGCTGTGTGGGCCCCAGGGTGGACCTGGCTCTGGTCCTGGGGGTGGTGGTGCCAGGGATCTTCAGGTCGGGGGAGCTGAAGTGGGGCTGGATCTTCGTTCTGCTGACCCCACGCGGCAGTCTAGGTGTCCACTTCTCATTGCGGCCCCAGAGCCCAGACCCCCTGAGCCTGGACCCCGAGCCCCTGCTTACGCAGGTCTCTGGTTCTCAGTGTGCCGGGGACTTGGGGTGTCTGTGGTGTCAGCGGCCGTGCAGACCAGCAGCACTGGTTCTTTTGCGCTCAGCAATTGTTATTATTTAATTAATCATAAGAGGCAGGTTATGTGTTCCTGAGCTTTCTGTCTTGTGCGCTAACTCATCCCACTTGCTTAAGTCCTGGAGGAATTATTTTAGTTTTTTTTTTAAATTCTGTCTATTCCTGTGATGCTGGTTTCTGACACTTGCCCGTCTCAGGTGGCAAGACCCACCCTCAGGTGCGTGTGCAGCGGGACGCCCACCAGCAGAGCCCTCATCCTCGACGCCGCCCGTTGGGTCCCCGAGGTGGCCTCGGCAGAGTGGTTCTTACAGGGAGTGAGGTCAGACCATGGCCGCTGCGTGTGGGGTGTGTGGGATGTGTGGGGCGCTGAGGGCTGGGCAGCCTGAGCCTCCGAGTCCTTTCGGGGCCAGTCCGGAAGGGCGGGAGCGGCCTGCTGGCATCCTTGGATTCTGACACAGCCTTCCAGGTCCAGCCTCCTGTTCAGGCCGCTGCCCTTCACTGCTGCATCCGGGCCGGGGATGCCCCAAGTCCAGTCGCCCGTTGGTTGGAGCCTCATGAGAGAGATGCGGCAGCCTGGCCAGCCCTCCGGCGGGCCTGTGCCACCCCGTGACTGCAGCTCCCTCCTGGGGTGCCGGGATGGGCCTCACCTCAGCCCCTAGCCCCCTCACAGGCCAGTCCTCACCAGGGGCTGTAGGTCTGCGGGTCCCATGGGTGGGGGGAGGGCTGGGCCCGCGGGAGGTTCGCCGCCAGCACAAGGAGGAGTGTGGCTGCCCCAGGGTGCAGGGTGAGCCCCGTCCTCTGGGTGCAGGGGCACGGGGTGAGCCGGCTTCCCGGGTGCTGAGCGCGGCCCAGGCCACGGCCAGGGAGGAGGGAACACAAGACGTAGGGTGAACACAAGTTTCCAGGCCCCCCGCCCACCTGCAGTCAGCATCAACCATGGGCACCTGCGGGCCCACGCACCCTGGCGGGGCACCTGGACGCGGTGCGGGCCTGCGTGGGCGGCGCCTGAGCCGGAGGCGGGGCAGATATGGGCAGCAGAGGGCAGGGGAGGCCTCGCGAGACGCCGAGAGCCTGGAGAGAGTGAAGACTCGCGGGGCCCGGGAGCCCGCCCGCGCCTGGCCCGCCAGGAATGGCGTAGAGAGAACATCACACGCCTGAAAGCCACTGAAGGCTCAGGACCCCCGCGCCCGTCTGTGCCTACTGGCACATCCGAGGTCAGCGCTGCCGGCCCACAGGTGTGGGGTTGGGGGTTGGAGGCCGAGCAGTTGGGGAAGGCCTGGCTTCTCTGGGGCCAGGGCTGGGCGGGGGCGCCCCTAGCCTGAGTGCCGCCTCGGCGTCGGCGGGCTCCTGCAGGGATGTGGTTTGGACATGTGAGGTGCCTCTGGGACAAGAAGCAGGGGCTGGGGTGGGCTGCAGCCTTGTGGGGGGTCGGGCGTGGACGCCGCTGGCCCCCAGCTATCTCCACTCCAGTGGCGTCCCGTGTTGTCTGCAGCAGGCGAGGAGGGGCTGCAGGCAGGAGCCGCCCCCCAAGTCGGACAGTCTTTGTGACAGTTTCCCCGAATCCTCTTACTGGCTCTGCTCTGTGCTTTGCTCCTCTTTCCTCTCCTTGAAGCCCTTGCGGTGTCGACAGCCACTGTGGACGTGGCAGCGTGGCGGGACGGGGTCAGCTCCCGCGCAGGCCTCAGTGCGGCCGGGGCTCGGCCAAGCGTGGCTGTAGGGTAAGGAAAAATGTCAGGCTTTTCTGCCCTCCCGCATCAGGATAGATGATGGATCCCTGCGGTCCTGAACACATGCCTGATGGCGGCACCTGGAGTGGGGTGTGGGCCTAGGTAGATGGGATTCCCCTGGGCTGAGACTGGGCTTTTAAGGGCGGCGTCACGGGGACGCCAGCAGGAGCCGAGAATGAACAGAAGCCGAGAAGCAGAGATCACCAGAGAGCCCAGACAGAGTGAGGACTTGCTGGGGGCTGGGGCCTGCCAGCCTCCCAGCCCCCCAGCACCCCTGCCTGCTGTGTACCTGGTAATCCCAATAAAAACCTGCAAAAACCACTGAGGACTGACTCCTCCTTTACCCGTCTGCATGGGATCAGAAAACCTGCACTGTGTCCAGTCCTGCCCTTACAATTGGGGTAAGTCGGCAAGATGATCCACGCAGATGGGCATGGAGCCCTCTGAAGACCTGGAGGGACTAAGGAGTAACAGACTGTTTGCCTGTAACGACGCTGGAGGCATCATGGCGGCACAGGAGAGGGACAAGGTCCAGGAGCTACAGGACAAGACCTGGCGTGAAGGAGACGCCCGAGAGGACCAGCCAACGACCCCCGAGGCAGCACGAATCGTCGGGGAAGAGAGGACCGCGATTCGGAGCTCGCTAGTGCTGATGGAAAGGCCTAATGGACTTGGACTGATGGACTGACAATCCCGCCAGAAGGCGGAGGACCTTGGCAGGTTATGTTTTTTTTGGAATCTGGGGGTGGCCAGTGGGCCTTGATGACCAAAAGCAGCCTGTGTATGACCAGCAGCCAGGCGGAGGAGAAAAGCCAACTAAGTAGGCAAAAGCTGGTGCTGATGCTAAGTTGAGAAGCCCTGAGCGGCTGTGAAGCAGCCTGAGTATGCTGAAGCCCTGTGAGTCTCGTCAAATCACCTGTGGGGGACGCCCTGTTCTTGAGTGAGGGTGAGGAGCTGTGGAACCCGTCCTTGGGGGATGGGTGAGGAACGTGGCTTGGGGTGGAGCCCAAGCCGAAGACGGGACCCGAGAGAGGCCACATGTAGAGTTTGGATCCCCGACCCAGGTGCTGGTGCAGTGGGCTGGCCTGAGTGCAGGGGCCTGCGAGTCGCGTGGGTGGCTGTGAAGGCCGAGTGCTGGAGCGACGCAGACAGAAACCCTGAGGGTGGGCGATGACCCCCAACAGAATAGAATCGCCAGTCCCAGAGCGAGAGCATCCTGGGGGTGGATGCGGTGTGTGGCTTGTAGCCGAGACGACAGCCAGAGAAGGCCGGGAAGCCCGACGGCTCCTGGCGTGTTACAGTAGATGCCGTGAGTGGTTCCCCTCCCTCGTGTGAGCGGTGCCTTCGGCAGCGGATGTGGTGGCTCATCTGCTGGTGCCAATAATTGTCTTTTGCACTAGGTTGGGGCCCTGCCTGGACTTATTTGTGTTCTGTTGTATTCTGTTGTTATAGTGTGATGTATTTGCTTTCGTGGGCCATGGCTGCAGTGTTTATGTTTGCTAAGAAAATTGTATATATGAGGACTACATGCAGAAAACCCTGAGGGGGTGGACTGTAGGGTAAAGAAAATGTCAGGCTTTTCTGCCCTCCCGCCATGAGGAGAGATGACGGATCCCTGCGGTCCTGAACACATGCCTGATGGCGGCACCTGGAGCAGGGTGTGGGCCTAGGGAGATGGGATTCACCTGGGCTGAGACTGGGCTTGTAAGGGCGGCGTCACGGGGACACCAGCAGAAGCTGAGAAGAAGCTGAAAGAGAAGCCGAGAAGCAGCAGAACGAACGGAAGAGCAGAGAAGCAGAGAGAAGGCCAGAGAGCCCAGAGAGAGTGAGGATTTGCTGGGGCTGGGAGGACAGCCAGCCCCCCGGCCCCCCAGCACCCCTGCCTGCCGTGTGCCTGGTAAATCTAAATAAAAGCCTGCAAAAGCCACTGAGGCCTCTGACTCCTCCTTTACCCGTCTGCATGGGATCCTAGAAAACCTGCTCAGTGTCCCATTCTTGCCCCTACAGTGGCTTCACCCACCAGCGCTGGCGCCGGCCCAGGTTCCTCTTGCTCCACGCCCCTAACATGCCTCGGCGTCGGGGTTTACAGGAGCGTCTCCCAAGGTGCCGAGTGCTGTCTTCACTCGTCCTGGCGGTCGCCCTAGTGAAGCGGGTGCGGGTGCGCGGCAGTTGGAGGGCCTCTCCCCAGCCCCAGGCGCCCAGTTGGGGAGCGCCGTCCCCATGATGGCAGCCCAGGCTTCAAAGGAGCTGCGTCGCCACATCCTGGAAATGGGGCGGAGGCTGGAAGATGCCGTCCCAAGAGCCAGCGCCTCCTTAACCTGCATTTAAAATGGTTTCCTTTTAGGTGCTTGGGAAGATGGACAAGTCCTGTGCGCTGACCTACAAGATAGTGGACAGCCCTCTGGGGAAGATGGAGCTCTCGGGGTGCGAGCGGGGTCTGCACGGGATCAGGCTGCTCGGCAGGAAGCGCCTGGGAACAGGGTGAGTGCTGTGTGGTGATGGGGACCCCGCAGGCGCTCCAGCCTTGTGTCCAGCCCCTGGGTGGCCGCGCCTGGAGTCGGGCGCAGGCAGAGGGGCGATCCCTGCACAGCCCGCCGTCCGTGCTCGACCGGGGTGGGGCCCAGGGAATGTTCTGGAGTAAAGTGATCAGGGCCCCCCATGTGTCAGACTGGGTGTGCAGCTGAGGGAAGGTGGGACCCCTTTTCTGACAGGATGCCAAGGTCCTGCCATTTCTAAGGGGGTGCACAGCTCTGAACACACGCCCCTGTATTTGTCTGGATGCTCGTGCTGGAAGCCCTCCTGGGTGTCTGCTCCCGACGCGCTTCCGCGCTGAGTCGGGATTGCAGTTCTCGTTATTTCTGACAGAAGAAAAAAACACCCACTTCTGCACTCGGTGTTTGTCTTAACCGGCTAATAAACACCACGCCAAGGACATTAGATAAAGAAAATACATAAGAAACATAAAAATTGATTTTAATGGACCCCTGTCAGAGGCGGCCATAATGAGCGCCGGAGCCGTAATAAATATCCGTTTCCACTTCCTCCGCGGGATTTTCCCTGTAGCGCCGCGTGTCACAATGGATGGTCTTTTTTTAAGGCCCAAAAATAAGCGAAGCCCTGAACTGCGCGAATCCGCCCCTCTGCGAACTGGCTGCTGGGAGCGCCCGAGTCCCCTGTGGGCACAGTGCCGCGTCTCTAGGGTGTTTCACTGCACAGTAAACCAGATTATTCATTGAATTTTCTTTGGTTTAAAGAGAGAAAGTGAGGGGCCTCCCTGGTGGCGCAGCGGTTGAGCGCTGGGCTGCGAGTCTGCCCGCAGCCTCTGCAGCACCGGTTCGTTGTTCGTTCCCCGGCCGCCGGCGAGGGGCCCACAAAAAACAAATAAATAAAATAAAGAGAGAAAGTGAGTTTGAAAAAACAAGCCCCAACTGTGAGATGCCTCGCTAATGCCCACGGCAGCCCGAGGCCCTTGTGAAGGTGAGGCGGAGCCGAGGCCCCGTCCCGCCCCGAGCAGGCCCGGCTCCGCCTGCGCTGCGGACGGCCGCCAGCTGCCAGCCTTGGACGCAGCCAGCGTGTCCTGCTGCTCCACGGTGGCGTGGGCCGGGCTGGCCTGGGAGTGGCCCCTGGGGCGCGGGGCCCTCTCCAGCACGTCGCTGACCCTCCTGGGAAGGCCGCAGGGGCCCTGGCTGGTCCCAGCTGGGGGTTCTGGTGTGAGGAGCAGAGGGAACTGGGGGCAGGCGGTGTCTGTTTCATGTCTGGCTCACCTGGGGAGGGACGTTGGGTAAAAAAGAGTCTGTGAAGACTCCATCAGTTTTTAAAAATTGGGGCAAACATCACGTTGTGACCCTCACAGCCTGGCCCTGTGAAGGTGCCCCAGCCAGCCGGGCCCCTCCCGTCGCCCCTCACCTCCTGCTGCTCTGCTCCGACGCCGGGCCACGCACCGCGGGCCTCTTGGGCCTCTGCATGTGCCTGTCTGGGTTTGCCCTTTTGTTTAGCAGCTGGGAGGGGCATTGGGGTGTCACCTTTGGGGGTAGCACCTGTCGGTCTTGGCATCTGGGAACCCTGGAAGTGAGCCTGACGTGCTCAGCGGTCCGAGCAGGTGGCTCCTGCCCAGGCTGGGCACGGGAGCCAGGAGAGATGGCCTGAGGAGAACGTGAGTGCTGGGCTGGTGGACGATCCTGGGGGCTGGGGCTGGCAGGGGGCAGCTGCTCCAGTCTGCCCGCGGCGTCCCGGCTTGGGGTGTGGGGTTCCGACTGCTTGGCTCTAGGGCGCGTGGGCGCCAGGCTTGGAGCTGGACCACGGCTCCTGATGGCGCTCGGTGGCGGTGGGACGAGGCGGGGAGGCTGGGGCCGTCCTGGGGCCCTGTGCTGGTGCTGGGGCGGCGCCCGAGCTGGTGCTGCCGCATGGCGGGAGGCAGGAGGCTTCCCCCACACAGCCTGCTGTGTCCACCCTCCATGTGGATGGCTTGGGGCTGTGCACCCCCTCTGACTGGGCCGCCTCTGTTTCTGCATGTTCTCTAAGAACCCGTGTCTGACGTGTGAGACACCCCAGCCCCATCTGCCTCGCGGGCAGACTCCACACCTGCAGACGCCCAGCCCCTGGGGGAGCTTGCCCGGCTGCCCCCGCGCACTCGGGCACTGTTCGTGGGGTGACGGCGCGGGGGCTCCTTGTCTTGCTGGGATTGTTCCTGTGGAAGCCACGTTCCCTGACCTGGTCCCCGCGCCTCTGCAGACCCACAGCGGGGCCTTCTGGGGTATCCCTGGGGAGCCCACATGGGCGATGGCGCAGGAAGGGGCCAGGTACCCCGCTGGGTGGCCACATGGCTTCTCAGTGGAAGCAGCTGCTGCGTTTGGGGCACCCACCCCCCCCATGCAGTCATAGGGTCGCCTGGCCTGGCACCACGGCCTGGGGCCGGCAAGCTCAGGATGGAACACAAACTGCTGGGGGTGGCATGAGGAAGAAAAACTTGTCAGGACGGAGCTGGTGCCGCAGGGAAGCCAGGCTGCGGGGCACGCCGCGCCTGCTCATTTCTCAGAAACGCCCATGCGTGGGGTTTGCGGGTGCAGCTGCCGCGCGAGGCACTCACATACGTTACGGGCGTGTTGTAGACGTTTCTGTTCTGCCTCCTTAATGTTCTTCCCACCAAGAACCTGTATCAACTAGGGGAAAAGGAATTGTCCATCTAAATTATTGCAAGTGCAGCCACTCCAGTCTCCCCCAAACAGCGGTGTCTGCTTTCTGGTCGCCGGGAAAGACACGGCCCTGGTGGCCTGGACCACTGCTCGAGGCGGGGACTGTGTGACTGGGCCTGGTCCCCTGCGACGTGCCTGGGGCTGTTCTAGGTGAGCACAGCTCTCGGGAGAATAGTGTTTGGAGCCGGCACCCTGGGGGTGATGGAGCCGCCCTCTGTTGCTGGCTGGCTCTGCTCAGGACGGGAGTTGACGCTGCCCCTGCCGGGCCGGTGGCCAGAGGGCCCCGTGGGGCTGGGGACCCAGCCGGGCGCAGGGCCAGGCTGGCACGTGGCTGGGCACTGTCAGTGGTCACCATCAGGCCAGAGGGCAACAGGTGGCCTGGGCATGCACCTGGCACTCCACCCCTGCTCCCCGAAGAGCAGTGCAGCTGCCCAGAGCCACCTTGGTGCTGGTCTCTGTCGGCCCTGAGCTCAAGGTTGTGGGGCCCCACTGCTCTCAGGGCGCAACCCCTGGGTTAGACAGTGACCCAAACCGCCCAGGCCACGAAGGGAACGCAGGAGACGCCTCCTTTCCTGAAGGGGCCCAGAAGTGAGACGGGCTCCCCATCTACTGTCTGTGCACGAGCCTCGGGGGCCCTGAGAGGGGCAAAGAGAGCACCTTCCTGATGAGCCTGGGCCCCTTCCTGCGCCTGCCCCGCTGCCCTGACTGCCCTCCGGGTGCACCGTCGTCCTCCCCGGCGTAGCCGGCCTGAGCCGGGCGCCCCACAGCCCCCACCCTGCTCCCTGCAAGGCCACGTGTGGGCTCGCTCTTGCCTTCCCGCCCCTCCCCCTCCCCCACCCTGGCTGTGGCTCCCCAGAAGTCCGGGGCCTGCGACCCCAGGAGGCAGGTAAAGGGGCTTCATGTCTTCCCAGGAAGTCCCAGTGCCCCTCAAGCCAGAAGCCCAAGGGAGGCCGCCTCTTGTTAGAATAGCGCTCCAGTTGCGGCCTGCTTGGTGTCGCCCCTCGCAGGCTGGCAGAAGCAGCTTCCCGGCACCGTATCGAGCGGGGTCGCGGGTCTGGAAGCCCTCCATGCGGCCATCTTCCCTCTCACTGCCCACCCCGCTGTCCCTAGATTGCTGTACGCTGGGTGGGGCCAGCCCGCCGCCCAAAACTCAGCAGGAAGCAGCTACAGAAGCTCCGTCAGTGCCGGAGATGGGGCCTGCAGACCACGCGTGGGCTCTGGGCGGCGAGCAGGCCGCACCCCGGAGCCAGAGCCCAGCGCCCCCCTGCCACTTGGGTGCCCGGCCAGGTGGGCCCCCTGGCCTGCTGCCCACTGGCTACAGCTGCCCCGAGGCGGCCACCTTCCGGGCCGGCGCGAGGCCATGTGCACCCGGCCACGGCGCAAGGCAGGGCCTTCTCTGAGCCTTGGTCGGGGTCGGGGTGCTGTGGGCCGCGGGCACGCTCCGTTAGCTGCGGCCGTCTGGGCGTGCTGGGCTCCTGCCCTTGCTCCTGGCCCGGCCGGCGCCGCTCGAGCCCCCCAAGGGCTCCCCGGGTCCCACACGTGGAACCTCTGAGCGTCGTCCTGGCTTTCCGTTAATGTATGTAAAAATATTAAAAGCCCTTCTATATTACATTAAAAACTATGTCAGCTGCTCCGCTTTTTTCTATTTATTAAAACTTTTCAAGCAGTGAAAACATTTTACTTGTTAATGAGGGAAAGTGGGGAATTAATGACATGGAGCCCGGCTCCGCCAGGACGGCCCGGCCCCTTCCTCCGCGCGGGCTCCCCAGCAGACGCGCTCAGATTTAATGATTTGCATCAGTAGATCATTTCTCAGTTTAATATCCTCTGATATTTTGGGTCAAGGACTTTTTCTTTGGGAGGCTGGCACAATTTCTAGAGCTAAAATTACTAATATTAGTAATAATGCATCACGTTCAAGTGAATTGAGATAAATGTGTCATTTCCGCAAAGGCAGATTTACACGCTGCGTTTGCTCGCTGCGGCGAGGCGGCTCCCTGATGAGTGGACGACGGGTCGGGCCGGCCTCCCCCGGAGCCCGCCACGTCCAGCAGCCCCGCGCCGGCCCCGGCGGAGGACTGTGTCCCGGCCGCTACGGGCAGGAGCCTGCAGGCCACACTGCGCTTCCGGCGGATAAATTCAAAGACGTGAATTAAAGGGAGAGGCCTGTTGACCTGGCTCTGTTGACCCTTTCTGTGTCGGTGTGGGGCCTGGGGTGGCAGGAGCTGTCCTCAGGGAGCTGCGGGGCTGGGAGCGGGTGGCCAGTTCTCTGGGGCGGGCGGCAGCTCT